TCTGGCTGAGCACAGGTTAATCTTGTAGGAGGAGTTTTAATTTTCCTCTGACTGTCCTATGATGCTGCATGACCCATGACCCTCCCTCTGTCTGGACAGATTGACCCTGTGCCAATCACATGCAGCCCCCCCCAAAAAAAAATCTCTATGAATACACACTAAAGTGAGCATGTGCAGAGTGTCTCCAAGGGCTCAGTACTATCATTAGATGGATTGGAGGGGATGTGGAAGAAGGGGAGGATCCAAGATGACAGGATCAAACAACCTTTTTACATAAATCGGAGGATTAACCCTTTAGGTTCCACAGTGAGTATAACAAGCATGCTTTACTGCATATGCAGAGCCTTTTTACTGCTTTGGGTTTAGTAACACTTTAAGTCAACAAATGTAAAGGTATGTATAAAAAAAATTTTTATTACATATACCTTGGGATACCGTCAATGGATGGAGGGGGCACCGGAGTGGCAAATTGCCAAGCCTGAAGTTATCATTTAAAATACAGCTAAATGAATTTTTTTTTGTTTTGGATTGAGTAGAGAGGTTTAGAATACCTGTCAGATTTGTATTGCTGTCTCAGCTCCCATTAAGGAGAATCACATTCTTTATTTGTCCCATAGTTCCCAACTATCTCCTTTTGAAGGGACTGTCCCTCTTTTACAACCAACTCCTCTTGTCCCATTTCTTCTTCAGTTGTCCTGCATTTTAGCCAGATGTATAAAAATACATTATTTAAAAAACAGCAGTGTTATATTACACTAAATATTTATTCCAACCTCTATATTGTTGCTTCTGTTATTTTAAAAAGTCAGTATAAAGTAAAAATTGGGGTGAAAACAGGCACTTTTGGGTTTAACCAATCATAAATTGCATTATATTTCCTCCTGGTTTGGGCAATTAGGGATGTGGCAGGGATTTTGTCCTTTGCTTACATATTTTGTGTTATAAGGGGTGTTCCTCTTCCTCATCTCAGAAAGTTGGGAGGTAGGATTTGTCCTGTCCACCAATATTACCAAGGGTAAATGTAAAATGAAATCCCAAATTTTGGGTTGTCATCAGAATAATAATAGAGGGGGAATCTTCCAATGGGGACATTAGTTCCAGGGAGCCTGGTGACCACTAGGGATTCCCTCATTTTGGAGAAATGTCCTCTAACTTTCTGTCTTGGCTAAAGGACAGGAAATGATGGAAAATCTCCCCAAAGTGACACAAACACTGATAGGGGTTTAAATCTCCCTTAAGCTGGTGATACACTGTTAGTTGGGGTTTTTCTTCTTGTTTTTTTTAGCCTGTGGGATTCTTTCACCCTGTTTGTGCAGATGGAGTAATTCCCCCTCCACATTGTATTCTGTTAATGCCCCTTAAATAGAAGTTGTTTAAATGAGTGACTTCTGTTCAGCTGAAGTTTGATAGAAGCTGATCCACCTGAAGTTCGATCAGTGTATGTTCAGCTTTACTCTGTACACAATATTTAAAAAGTTTTGCATTAAGTTGTACTTTAACCTGTCATTGATATATCCCTTCCTGGTGGAACACCCTTTAAATAATTTGTACAAATAACTAATATTGCAGTCTAATAAAGCTTAGATGGATTAGCAATGTTATTATATCATGAATAGTGCACCTCTATTAAATGAATACATTTGTCAGTATCAGCTTCATAATAGAGTATGCAGCCCTTATTGTAGTACTATAAACCAAGGGTCTCCAAACCTTCTAAACAAAGGGCCGGTTTACTGTCCTTCAGACTTTAGGGGGGCCGGATTGTGGCTATTGAAATTAGAAAATGTCCTGACATCAGTGGGAGTAAACAATGCCCCATCTTTGATGTCTGTGTGAGGAATTGAGCCCCCTTGGCGTCATTGGGTGGGAAGAAACATGCCCCATCATTGGTGTCATTGGGAGGAACTGTGCCCCATTGTTAATGTTATTGAGAGGAATGGTGCCCCTTCGTTGGTTTTAGTGAAGGGAATTATGCCCCATTGTTTGTGCCTGAGGATGAAATATTGCCGCAAGGGTCAGATAATTGTCAGGGCAGGCGCTGAGGAACAAACAGGCAGGCCTAATAACAATGTAACGCACTGGCTGACGACAACCACCACAGACCGAAGTCCCTTAGGGCATGGAGTCTAAGTCCCAGGCTGCCCTTCACCAGGGCCCCTGATGGTGGGGATGGACTGGACGCAGCCAGGAACCAGGTCGCGGCTCCCGAGACACCCCAGTTGCGGTAATGGCCACCGCCAATGGCGTGTAGCTGGTGGAAAGGACAATAGAGTAGTTGGGCAGGCCGGGTCGACAACAATGGGACAAAACGGTACAGGACAGCAGACGAGAATCACAGGTCACGGGCCGGGTTCAGCAACGGAGGGTCAGATCAAAGGAGAACACAAAGAATGGTTGAGTCACAAGCTGAGTCAGATTACAGGAGAGTCACGAGAGTCAGAACAGAGCTGTAGCAACACAAAGACACAAGACACGGCATGTGCGGACCACAGGCTTATATGTAATCAGCCACACCCCTCTGGGGGATGGACCTCAGAGACCTGAAGGCATAAAAGATTCCCACCATGCTCTGCAGAAATCCAAGATGGATGCCAGCACATGGAGTAACACCGCTGCTCAAGGTAGAGAGACTCCCAATCTCCAAGTACAACTCCTCCTGTACATGCTAGACCAGCTCTTGTGTTGCATAGATGAGAACAATAGAAGTCCGATCGGCTGCACTCCAAACAATCCATTTATTTGAACCAAGATAAAAGCAATACAGACAGTGTAAATACAGTGGGGAACTGGCAGATAAATGCGTTTCATGCTAAAGACAGCTCTTATTCATTACTCCTTAGGGCAGGGGTGTCAAAATGGTGGCCCTCCAGCTGTTGCAAAACTATAAGTCCCATCATGCCTCTGCCTTTGGGAGTCATGCTTGTAACTGTCAATCTTGCAATGCCTCATGGGACTTGTAGTTTGGCAACAGCTGGAGGGCCGCTAGTTTTACACCTGTGCCTTAGGGGTAATTAATTACCCCTTTAGCATGAAATGCAGTTGCCTGCCAGTCCCCCACTGTATTTCCACTGTCCGTATTGGTTTAATCTTGGTTCAGTAAAGTGGACTGGATTGCAGCCGATCGGACTTCCTTTGTTCTCATCAGTGTATGTTCAGCTTTACTCCGTACACAATTTTTAAAAAGTTTTGCATTAAGTGGTACTTTAACCGCCTCCTGCCCACCATATAAGGAAATGACGGATGGGCGGTGGTTCTCTCATTCTGGGAGGATGCCTGGGACACAGCGGATCACCGATCAGCGGAAAGAGCCGATGACGTCGGCTCTGTCATGTGATCAGCTGTGTCCAATCACAGCTGATTGCATGTAAATAAGGAAATGCTAGTTATCGGTATTCCTCTCCTCATGGGCTGTCACATTGACAGCTTGTGAGGAGAGGAGAGCCGGTAATCAGCATTCCTCAGAGGGGACATGTACACTGATCAGTGCCCTGATGATCAGTGTAGCCCCATCAATGCCACCTGTCAGTGCCCATCAATGCCACCTGTCAGTGCCCATCAGTGCACATCAATGCCACCTGTCAGTGCCCGTCAGTGCCCATCAGTGCCCATCAATGCCACATATCAGTGTCTATCTGAGCTGTCTTTCAGTGCCACCTATCATTGCCAGTCAGTGCCGCCTATCAGTGCCCGTCAGTGCCGCCTAAATGTTCCAGTCAGTGCTGACTATCAGTGCCAGTCAGTGCTGCCTATCATTGCTGCCTATCAGTGCCATATATGAGTACTGCCTTACAGTGCCCATCAGTGATGTCTGTCAAAGTCCACCATTGATGCCTGTCAATGCCCATCAGTGCCACCTACAAATGCCTCCTCGTCTGTGCCCATCAGTGCAGCCTATCAGTGCCCATCACTGCAGCCTCATTAGCGCACATCAGTGAAGGAGAAAAATTACTCATTTACAAAATTTTGTAACAGAAACTAAGAACAAAACTTTTTTTTTTTTCAAAATTTTCAGTCGTTTTTGGTTTGTTTAGCAAAAAATAAAAAACCCAGAGGTGATTAAATACCAAGAAAACTCTACCTGTCTAAAACAAAATGACAAAAATTTCATATGAGTGCAGTGTTGCATGACTGTGCAATTGTGATTCAAAGTGCGACAGCGCTGAAAGCTGAAAATTACCTGGGCAGGAAGGAGGTGAAAGTGCCCGGTAGACAAGTGGTTAACCTGTCATTGAAGTATCCCTTCCTGGTGGAACAACTCTTTAAAGATTTTTCCTACAAATAACTAATATTGCACAGTGTAATAAAGTTTAGATGGATTATCAATATTATGATATCATGAATAGTACACCTCTATTAAATGAAGACATTTGCCAGTTACCACTAGCAGTTAAGGTTATGCATTAGTGGATACCTCTGTATCAATGTACAGTATATTACATACACGTATATACACTAGAGTAGACTTACAAATTACTGTACAAGATAAGTATTATTATATTCAATTACTTACTCAGCTGGATTAATATACGCAGCAATAAAACCCGGCGATAAGTCATTTCAATAAGAGTGTGGCTCCTGTGTTCTCCCCTGCACACTCATCCATCTGTAGTCACCGGCTGAGCAATGGGTGGTGATATAGTAGGAAACTTGAAGGATGTTGTAGAGGTGAACAAACTTGTTCAGAAATTAGATGTGTCTTGTGATTTTTTGAAAACTGATGTCTTTCTGTCTGAATTAGCATTAGCAAGACATCATGGAGCATGGGTCATCAAAAACTCATCACTATGTGTGTAAAATATGTTCTAACCTTTGTCGCCGAACATTGCTAAGAGAAATATGTCATTATCCTTGTAACTATCCATGGTGACCTGGACATTGCCTGAGGCAGGACATTACTGAAGCCAGAACTGGTTTTGATGTGTACATGGGTGAGGAGACTCTACTGAAGGACAATAAATTAGTAGGTCAATGGCCAGTCATGACGAGGGGCGGACTGACCATTTGGGAACTCGGGCATTGCCCGAGGGCCCGGGGTCAGTAGGGGGCCCCATGAGATGCCCCTGGTACCTTTCATAGGCTTTTTTGGGTGTGGTTTGAGTGTGAGTGAGGACACAGGGGCCCCATGATCTCCTATTGCCCGGGGGCCCCATGAGTTGTCAGTCTGCCCCTGGTCATGACAGCTGAGTCATAGCTGATTCACTGCTTGTGTGCTGAATGCTTGTTCAGGGTTTGCAACTGAAAAATCCTGAAGCCAGGCATTTAGCAATTCCAGCAATGGCAGGACCCATATTTCTCTAGCAATAGGTGTGCTTTTTTTTTTTGTTTTTTTTTTTAAGCAGACAAAAAATTTCTTTATTGAAAAAGAGATCATCACATACAATGCTGGAAAATTAGAAGATCCTACATAGAAAACAGGAATTTTCCCATTGAAAACATTATTATTATTATTATTATACAGAATTTATATAGCAGCAACAGTTTACTCAGCCCTTTACAATATAATGGGAGACAATACAGCAACAATACAGTTCAATATTTATTTATTTCAGGTTCCTTATAATAGCACCATCAATTTACGCAGCACTTTACACATACATTGTACATTCACATCAGTCCCTAACCCTTAAGGGGCGTACAATCTAAAGTCCCTAACTCACATTCATACATACACATACTAGGGACAATTTAGGAGCCAATTAACTTCCCAGCATGTCTTTGGAGTTTGGGAGGAAACTGGAGTACCCGGAGGAAACCCACGTAGTCACAGGGAGAACATGCAAACTCCAGGCAGGTGATGCCGTAGTTGGGATTCGAACCAGCGACCCTAAATACAGGAGGGTTAGGAGGGCCCTGCTCCTTGGAGCTTACAATCTAGGACATGGATCATTACTGATACTTATTGAGAAAGGGACATTCTGCAGATGACATACTGTATCATTTAAAACCCAGGTACAATAGTAAAAATTATCTGGTGTATAACCATAAAGACATTGAATGTTAATAGATAAACCGCTGGAGCATCTTGAGTAAGACACAACAATACACATTCCGGGTAGCGTGAAAATCATGAAAGTCAAGACAGGTGAAACTCGAAAAAAAATTAGAATATTGTGCAAAAGTTAATTTATTTCAGTAATGCAACTTAAAAGGTGAAACTAATATATGAGATAGACTCATTACATGCAAAGCAAGATAGTTCAAGATGTGATTTGTCATAATTGTGAGGATTATGGCTTACAGCTCATGAAAACCCCAAATCCACAATCTCAGAAAATGAGAATATTACATGCAATCAATAAAACAAGGATTGTACATAGAACAAGATCGGACCTCTGAAAAGTAGAAGCATGCATATGTACTCAGTACTTGGCTTGGGCCCCTTTTGCAGCAATTACTGCCTCAATGCGGCGTGGCATGGAAGCTATCATCCTGTGGCACTGCTGAGGTGTTATGGAAGACCAGGATGCTTCAATAGCGGCCTTCAGCTCTTCTGCATTGTTCAGTCTCATGTCTCTCATCTTTCTCGTGGCAATGCCCCATAGATTCTCTATGGGGTTCAGGTCAGGTGAGTTTGCTGGCCAATCAAGCACAGTAATCCCACGGTCATTGAACCAGGTTTTGGTGCTTTTGGCAGTGTGGGCAGGTGCCAAGTCCTGCTGGAAAATGAAGTCAGCATCCCTATAAAACTCATCTGCGGAAGGAAGCATGAAGTGCTCCAAAATCTTCTGGTAGATGGCTGCGTTGACCCTGGACTTAATGAAGCACAGTGGACCAACACCAGCAGATGACATGGCTCCCCAAATCAACACAGACTGTGGAATCTTCACACTGGATTTCAAGCATCTTGCAGTGTGTGCCTCTCCATTCTTCCTCCATACTTGGGTCCTTGGGCCTCTCTATTCTTCCTCCATACTCGGGGTCCTTGGTTTCCAAATGAGATGAAAAAGTTGCTCTCATCAGAAAAGAGGACTTTGGACCACTGAGCAACAGACCAGGTCTGTTTTTCTTTAGCCCAGGTAAGACGCTTCTGATGTTGTTTGTTGTTCAGGAGCGGCTTGACAAGAGGAATACGACATTTGAAGCCCAGGTCCAGGATTCGTCTGTGTGTGGTGGCTCTTGATGCACTGACTCCAGCCTCAGTCCACTCCTTGTGAAAGTCCCCAACACTTTTGAATGGCCTTTTCCTGACAATCCTCTCCAGGCTGCGGTCATCCCTGCTGCTCGTGCACTTTTTTCTTCCACACTTTTCCCTTCCACATAACTTTCTATTAATGTGCTTTGATACAGCACTTTGGGAACATCCAACTTCTTTTGCAATTACCTTTTGAGGCTTTCCCTCCTTATGGAGGATGTCAGTGATGGTTTTCTGCACAACTGTCAGGTCAGCAGTCTTTCCTATGATTGTGATTCCTACTGAACCAGACTGAGAGACCATTTAAAGGCTCAGGAACCCTTTGCAGGTGTTATGGCTTAATTAGCTGATTAGAGTGGGACACTTTGAGCCGAGAATATTGCACCTTTTCACAATATTCTGATTTTCTGAGATTGTGGATTTGGGGTTTTCATGAGCTGTAAGCCATAATCCTCACAATTATGACAAATCACGTCTTGAACTATCTTGCTTTGCATGTAATGAGTCTATCTCATATATTAGTTTCACCTTTTAAGTTGCATTACTGAAATAAACTATTGCACGATATTCTAATTTTTTGAGTTTCACCTGTAAGTAGCATAGCTTGATGAAACAACACCACTCTATGTGGTTGTGGAAGGCTCATCACATGTAGAGGCTTGATCTAACCATCTATCCCAAATCTTATAGGATAGGTGTGCTTTTATTAAAGATTAGAGATGAGCGAATCGAACCAGGCAAACCGGAATTCGAGTCGAATTTCAGGAAATATTCGATTCGCGTCGAATCCGAAATTTTGCCTACTTCGGGTGCGCGAATCGAATATTTCCCGATCAGCCGGCAAAAGTGTCCCTGCAGTGAGCTCCGCTATTTCTGACAGTTCTCTGACAGAAGGAACACATGTTTAGCGGTTGAAACATTGTATCTAGGAGCTCTGCATATACACTTAGAGGAGCTCTGCACATACACTTTTTGCCGGCTTGGAATTAATCTTATTTTCATCCTACTTCTTCTTCTTCTTCTTCTTCCTCATCCTCATCCTCAGAAGAAGAAGAAGAGAGGATGAGGATGAAGAAGAAGAAGAAGAAGATGTAGGATGAAAATAAGAATAATTCCAAGCCGGCAAAAAGTGTATGTGCAGAGTTCCTCTATTCTGCAGATACCTTAGAGGAGCTCTGCAGATACACTTAGAGGAGCTCTGCACATACACTTTTTGCCGGCTTGGAATTAATCTTATTTTCATCCTACTTCTTCTTCTTCTTCATCCTCATCCTCATCCTCAGAAGAAGAAGAAGATGAGATGAGGATGAGGAAGAAGAAGAAGAAGAAGTAGGATGAAAATAAGAATAATTCCAAGCCGGCAAAAAGTGTATCTGCAGAGTTCCTCTATTCTGCAGATACACCGCTGTATGGAGTGAGTGTCCCAGAACTGTTAGAAATAGTCTATTTCAGACAGTTCTATGACATTCCCTCCATACAGCGGTTTGAAACCGCTGTATGGAGTGAATGTCCCAGAACTGTCAGAAATAGACTATTTATGACAGTTCTGGGACATTCACTCCATACAGCGGTTGAAACATTGTATCTATTTTTTTCCATAAATGACATTCTGCAAATACACTTAGAGGAGCGCTGCAGATACACTTTTTGCCAGCTTGGAATTAATCTTATTTTCATCCTACTTCTTCTTCTTCTTCTTCATCCTCATCCTCATAAGAAGAAGAAGAGGATGAGGATGAAGAAGAAGAAGAAGAAGTAGTAGATGAAAATAAGAATAATCCAAGCCGGCAAAAAGTGTATCTGCAGCGCTCCTCTAAGTGTATCTGCAGAATGTCATTTATGGAAAAAAATAGATACAATGTTTCAACCGCTGTATGGAGTGAATGTCCATAACTGTCAGAAATAGACTATTTATGACAGTTCTGGGACATTCACTCCATACAGCGGTTGAAACCGCTGTATGGAGGGAATGTCATAGAACTGTCAGAAATAGACTATTTATGACAGTTCTGGGACATTCACTCCATACAGCGGTTGAAACCGCTGTATGGAGGGAATGTCATAGAACTGTCAGAAATAGACTATTTCTGACAGTTCTGGGACATTCCTTCCATACAGCGGTTGAAACATTGTATCTATTTGTTTCCATAAATGGATCCATTTATGGAAACAAATAGATACAATGTTTCAACCGCTATATGGAGTGAGTGTCCCAGAACTGTTAGAAATAGTCTATTTCAGACAGTTCTATGACATTCCCTCCATACATTGAAAAACATTGTATTTATTTTTTTCCATAAATGACTATTCTGCAAATACATTTAGGAGCGCTGCAGATACACTTTTGCCAGCTTGGAATTAATCTTATTTTCATCCTACTTCTTCTTCTTCTTCTTCATCCTCATCCTTAAGAAGAAGAAGAGGATACAATTTTCAAACCGCTGTATGGAGTGAGTGTTTCCCAGAACTGTTAGAAATAGTCTATTTCTGACAGTTCTATGACATTCCCTCCATACAGCGGTTTCAACCGCTGTATGGAGTGAATGTCCCAGAACTGTCAGAAATAGACAGAAACTGTCACAGAACTGTCCTTCTTCTCATCCTTCTCCTTCTTCTCATCCTTCTCTCATCCTTCTTCATCCTTCTCCTTCTTCTCATCCTTCTCCTTCTTCTCATCCTTCTCCTTCTCCATCTTCTTATCCTTCTCATTCACCTTCAAACCATCAAAAACTTCACCTACCATCCTTCTCCTTCCTTCTCAACCTTCTCCTTCTCATCTTTGTCCTTCTCCTTCTCCTTCTCAAGCTCTCCTTCTCCTTCTCCCTCCTTCTTCTCATCCTTCTCCTTCTCCATCTTCCTCTCTCCTCCTTCTCCTTCTTCTCATCCTTCTCCTTCCCTTCTTCTCCTCATCTCATCCTTCTCCTTCTCTTTCCTTCTCATTTCTCCTTCTCTCATCCTTCTCCTTCTCTTCTCATCCTTCTCCTTCTTCTCATCCTTCTCCTTCTTCTCATCCTTCTCCTTCTCCTTCTTCTCATCCTTCTCCTTCTCTCATCCTTCTCCTCATCCTTCTCCTTCTTCTCATCCT